GAGGGGAGGGCCTGCGGGGGAGAGGGGAGGCGGTCAATCGATGCTGGATTGGATTGAGTTTGGGCGGAGGAGGCACAGGGGGGGGGGGAAGGGAACGGGAGGAGGGCCAATCGATGTACTGTGTATAGGTCTATATGTTTGTGTATATGTTAAAATACATACATACATACATTCATACATACATACACACACACACATATATATTTTTCGTTATTTGATATTATGATAGGTGTGTGTAAGAGAGAGAGTGAGCGTGTGTGTGCGCGCTCACTCTCTCTCTCTCACACACCTATCATAATATCAAATAACGAAAAATGGATACATGAATATATACTTTGTCATACTATGTCAGGTATTGCTCGTTGCGTAACTGTGTCATATATGCTTTGGGTTGCCTAAGGTGTAAATATAAATAAATAGATTTACGAATAGATAAAAATACGAAGACTGAAAGATAAACAGGTGAGTCAGTGATGAAGTGAATAGATGAATAAAGAAAGAGAGGCGGAAGGAATAAAAAATAAACTAAAAGCAAAATAAAAGTCAGGAAGATGATGCAAGGAGAACTCATAAACGGATAGTGACGTCATCCAATAGATTTCTTATGAAATGTCTCGCGACTTTTGCTGGTTATTGGCAAGGGACAGAGGAATACGAGAAGGCTAAACATTTACCCTTTTCGCTTTCTCTTTCCATCTGTCTCTCTTTCGTTCTCCTTCTTCTTTCTCTGCCTGTTCTTCCGTCTCTTTCTCTGTCTTCTCTCTTCTCTTCTCTCTCTCTCTTCTCTTTCTCTCTCTCTCTCTCTCTCTCTCTCTCTCTCTCTCTCTCTCTCTCTCTCTCATCTCTCTCTCTCTCCTCCCTTGTTTCTCCTTCTCTCCCCTTCATCTCCTCCCCTCTCTCCCTTCTCTTCTCCCTTCCTACGCTATCCCTCAACCATTCTTTCTATTCTCTCTCCTCAGTTTCCTCAAATTGCTATCCAGCCACTAAATCACCTTAAAGGCTCGTCTCTCAGTGCATATCTACACAAGCCATTTATTCTCTCTGCTAGTTTCCTTAGAGAAATGACGAAGAAAAGATGGAATAAGGGAATAATGAAACAGTTAGTGGGGAAGAGGGTAAGAAGAAGCGAGAAAGGGAAAAGAAGGAAGGAGAGGATGAAGGTTCATGAATAGAAATGGAAAGAGGAAGAGGGTGAGAAGAACAAGGGAAAATCATGGAAATGGAAAGAAGGAGAGGAAGAGGATGAGAAGAAAAAAAAGGGAAACTTAAGAGAAAAGAGGAAAGAGAGATAATATAGGAGAAAAAGGCCAATAACCCTTAAAAAAGCAATGGAAATAAAGGAAAATGAAAAAGGATGTGAAAAGGAGAACGAGGAAGAATATTACTGCAAGGGGATATAAAAGAAATGATTCTAAAAAAGGGCTTATTAGGGAATTAAATGCACAAGGGAATAGGGGCAGAAGGAAGAGCGAAAATAACCGAAAAGGGATAAAGAGAGACGGAAGAGGTCGCCTCTTTAAGAGAGATAAAAGTAATTATTAAAGAAAACGGGGGAAAGAGAAGGGAATGCAGATGAAAGAAAGAAATGAAGCACCGAAAGTTAGTAATGAGAAATCTATTCCTTGGAAATATGAGAACGTCGCAAGAATTTCTTATCAGAAGAAATGCAGACACACACATACACACGCACACTCACACCACATCACAGCACACACACAAACACACTCGTACAAAGACACACATACACACACACCCACACACACACACAGACTCACACACCACACCACACCACACACACACACATATTGTGTGTACTCACGTACAAAGATACACACACACACACACACAAACACACACACACACATACACACACCACTCACACACACAAACACACAAACGCATATATAAGACTTGTACTGAAAATGTAGAATTTTTCAAGAAGAAAAAAAAAAGTTTTATTAGTTCATATCCCATAGATCATCTTTCCCTCTTCCCCCCCCTCTTTGAAGGAACACTGTAAATGGATGACATATGAAAGAGGGGACGAGAGGGGGATTAAGGCCATGTCTTAGTTTGAAGTGAGATAGATAAAAGAAATTATTCAGCCGGTTGTGTGACGTGTGGAATTTTATTAACATCATTATCATTATCGTTATTTTTGTTGCTGTTACTTTTATTGTCGCTGTTGTTATTATCATCCTTTTCATTATTATTATTGTTACCATTATTCTTATCATCATTATCCTTATTATCATAATCATTATCATCATCATCATTAATATCATTGCTCTTATTGCAATTGTTGTTATCATCATTTTTACTATCATTATCCTCACCTTTGATGTTAACGTTAATATGATTGTTTATATCATCATCATTATCATTTTTGGTATTGTCATATCCTTACCAGTATTATTGTCATCGCCATTTGTTTAAATTCTGATCATTATCATCGCAATTGTCGTTATCATTAGCTTCATTCTGTACGTCCTATAAAAGT